TACGTTGTTTGGTGAGTTTTTTTTAGGCGATCATTTTTAAATACTTTGGGGAATTATTTTTAGGAAAAATTGGTAAAAAAAATTCCTGTTTGAAAATTTAATTAGTTAAAAAGATCTAAATTTGAGCGTGTGCCATAACACCTCACATAATTATATCTATATACCCGATAAAATATTTCATATAAAAATCTATACATTACTAACCCTCCAACAAAGTCATAATTTCAAAATATTTCTGACATAACAACAAAATAAACTATTAAAGTCTTATAGTCATGACAATTAAAAATATAACATAGCATGTGCCCGAGGAGTACAGAAGCCTTCACGGCTCACTCTATTGGTGCCTTCCCTTGATTCCTACTAGATCCTTCGTCTGAAAATTGTTAATATAAAGGGTGAGATCAAACGTCTCAGTAACTGTTGAAATTCTAACCTATACAAGCAAACCATATATGATAAACAAAAATCTGTTTGTGTGTGTGTGTATGAAAATCACGGATTTGACACATTCAACTCAATTTCATTTTTGATTCAACAATATACCAATATCATTTTTCCAATATATCCAAAAAATAATGCAATATGCTGTTTCCCTTATATCACCGTCTATCCTTATACCGCTGATTGGAGCCATAGGCTAACACATAGTCTAATAAGAATTAATCAATTTTACTGAATTATTTCAAGCTCACCAATACTAGAGATATATCCGGCCAAAGATATAAAGCTCAAGCTCGGACTATGGCTCCCCTCCTTTGCGAATAGAGAAGTGTCACATGTCCCACAGCTCAAATGAATTCCCGGCCAAAGGAAAACATGGAAGAAAGAGCCTTAATAAGTGTCATTCACTGCACCGAGTGATGGCATACCACGTGGTAATTTATATCCATGCAAATCTCCTTCTATCCTTAGCCCAACAATGCATGTCATATGCAAATAACGGTACATCATAAATATGTTCTCAAATATATTATTAAAAACAAGAGAGCAATAAAATTCATATACTATTTAACAGCAACTCATGATAATTTCATAGCTATTAATATATTTAAATATTAATCATAATTACTAGCAATAAATCTTAATAAAATCAGGGAATATACCAAAACATGTATTTAAAAAAATCATAATATTATATTATATTTCAATATGGTATAAAAATTAATAAATCTACAATATAATCATACACAATTCACATGTACAAGAAAGAATTTTCAGAGTTACCTGGTATTCTTTAGCTTACAAATAATCACACAAAGATTACTTTAAAATTATCAAAAATCTATAAAATTGCACATAAATATTTATTAATACAAAACTCAAAACTACTCTAAAATTCTAAAACTACCCTCTAAATCAAAATTATATAAATATATTAACTCTCCCAAATCTAGCCATTTACAACAGATATAATATTATTTTGAAAAATATGATTTACATATAAGACTATTTAAATTTAACAACTTAAGTAAATATATTTTTATTACCCAAAATCTAAATATTTTATATTAAAATTCTGAATTATTCATTATAGTCTCCTTTAAAAAAATTTTCTCAAACCAAACAACTTCTTTAAATTATTAAAAAATTGTACTTTTATCTAATTTTACAAAATTCTCAATTTACAATTTTTCAAGTCTTCAAAAATTATTTAAAAAATATATCTTTAATATATTCAATATTCAAACCGATTAAAATTTGAATAGTATATTAAATAACTTAAATAAATTATTTAACTTAAATTTAATTGGTAAAAATATTCTATATCTCCGGATAACAAATTTTTCAACTAAAATCTTAATTTAAAATTATTAAAACAGTCATTGAACAAATATAAACCGATTAAAATTCCTTAATAATGTATCTTTAAATTTCTACGGTCATATATTGTCAAAACTCTACATCTACTCCATATTCTAACGGTAAATTTTTTTTAAACATTATAATGATACTAATAATGTGAAGCTATAAATATATAGAAAATATTTATAAAAAAATTTGACAAAAAGAAGTAGTTTTGTGCACCTAAATGATCTCTAAAACTTGTCACGTACTTTGCAACTCAGCTATCTCTCTCTTCCTCTACCTCTCACTCTCTTTTCTCTTCTCTCACTCTCTCTTCCTCTGGCTTGAAAATCAACTACGGTGAAAGTATTTAATAACCCCGTATTCAATTCTTTCCATCACCCCATACTCTCTCTTCATCTACCTCTCACTCTCTTTTCTCTTCTCTCGTTCTCTCTTCTTCTTCCGTCTCTCTTCCTCTGGCTTGAAAATCAACTAGGGTGAAAGTATTTAATAACCTCATATTCAATTCTTTACATCGCCCCTTCCTATTTATTTCAACCTATACTGTCTCCTATAATTTTTTTTCCAACTTGCATCCTCTCTTTTTCCTTCTTCGATTAATACTATTGCCAATTTTTCCACCTTTATTTACTACTCTTCCTCAACATTCTTTCTTCATCCATTCCTTCTTTTCCTTTTTCTTCTTTTCATTTAATACTCCATCCCAACATCCTTCTTTCATGTACTAAACTCTATTTTTTTCCAACCTCATTCACTATCCTCTCCCCAAAATTCTATTCCCAAGTCAAAAGCCACAACTTTCCACTAAATTCGGTAGAAAGTTGTTTCTTTTTTTTAAAAAATAAAATAAAATATTATTATATACATTAATTACAATTTTTTTAAAATAGTATGCTACACGTGCAAGTATGATTTGTAAGTGCAATATATCTTTCGTTGTGTGTAAATGATTTCTGTATTGATGATTATTGCACATCATTAATGATATGTTACACATAGCGAAAAATATATTGCATTCACAAATCATAGTTGTATTTACTCAAATTCTAATTTTTTTTAACCAATTAAATTTTCAAATAGAAATTTTTTACCAATTTTTTCTTATTTTTAAAGTCAATGTTTTCATGCCAAGCTAGCAACTGAAAAGTTGTATACATTCCCATACTCATGTAAAAAGAGTTTTTTTTTGGGGAAAAATCACAAATAAAAACCCTTAAAAAATATAAAATTATAATCTAGATTTTTTAATTTAAAAAATTGCTGTCATGGGTTTTAAATATAAATTATGAAATGTTAGAAAAAAATAAAAATATCTTCCTTTATTTTATTTTTTTTAAAAAAAAAACTCTCACGCTCTTCTCTTTTTTGTCCCCTCCTTCCCCCTTTATTTTACTTCTCCCTTCTCCCTCGTTCCTACCCCACCTCTGTTCTTTTCCTCGTCCCATCTCCCCCCATGTCCACCCCTTTTACCCCTTCCTCGTCCCACGTTTTCCATGCCCCGCCCCCCCGGGGTCCCTCCCATTCCCTCGATCCCCACGCCCTGTCTCCGTCCCTACCCGCTTGTTGATTTTTTTCCTGTGTGCTCAATATTCAATGTTGTTGAGGATGATGAAGAATGTTTTTGAATCTCGAAAAAATAGTCACATACGATCATACTTTTTTTTTATTAACAGCTATAAAAATATTGTAATTTTCTATGTAAGTGTTGTAACTACATTAAAGTGTAAGAACAAGTTGACATAATAGTTTTTTGTTATTTCTTAAACATACGAGATGGATTTCGACTTGGGTGAAAATATTTTTTTTTTTAAAGTGATTATGAAGATTCTCAAGCATCCAACAAAAACTGAGATCGCACGGATGGATCTAATGCATAAATGCATCTATTTCTTGGGTCTACATGAATCTCGTCAAAATAACTTTTAAAATAAGTTGATTGATTTCTTTTTGTGTTTACCGTCATTTAAAAGGGTGTCCCAATTAGAAAAATGAATTACGTCTTCAATTAAGAGCATTTTTTAGAAAGCCTGGTTTATTAGTAATTACACCTTGAAAGACCAAAAATGCTTTATATCTTTTAACATGATACTCAAAAGAATGCCTCAAAATTTTGAAGAGATAAAGTGCTCTTTTCTTTTTCCCCCAAAACCCACGCGCTCCTCTACTCATTCAACCGAAAAACGCATGAAATGTTTGGTATCAGGTGAGTGTTAGTTGGAGAGTCAAATTTAGTGGCTTCGATTTTTGTTTTTTCGGCCCTTGTGCTGGTGGCCTTTGATCCACAATACACATGGTACAAATTAAATTTGCCAATGGCTAGTTTTCCGAAAAGAAGCGTAAACAATCGGGGGCCAAACGTACAATGCAGACTTCTGATAGGCCGGCCAGTGAAGAGAAGGTAGTAGGCCCCTTTAATTTCTCTCCTCCGACGTCTATGGCGGGAATTACCTTCTGCTGGACTTGGTTTAAAAGGGTGTTCGGATGAGGGGAAAAAAATACTTTCCAAAAATAATTTTTCGCAAATCAAAACAAATTCCTTTACATATTTATTTCTTACATTATAAAAATACTTTTAAAATCATAGTTTTGATTTTATCCAAACACCTCCCAAGACAAAAGTTTAGGGGAAAATTTTTTTTTGTTTGACCAGCCAGAAGTTTAGGGAGAAATTGATTATATGATTTTTGCTCATCAAAATCGTAAAATTATTGTCACAGAAATATCCTTTCTTTCTCGTGTACTAATATGACTTGCATATCCAGTCATCTTTTTTTTTTTTTTGGTTAGGGGCCATGCTCCAAATATTAGCTCCATACATCACGCCATTCCCACAATTTTTGAATGGTGAATCCAAGTAAATTTCTCTAGGACTTTAGAATGTGAAAAATTTAGAGAGAGAGAGAGAAAAAACAAGTTGTTTCGAAATACTACCTCCGGTCCTCATTATAAAAGCCAGTTGACTAATTTGAAGAGATTAAAAAAATAAATTGAGTTAGTTATTTGTCCTAAATAAGTGTTGTCTTTCCTAAAATATCTTTACTAATCAAGTGTATTGACTAGAACTATCATTGTTAGAAAGACTACTTTGGAAAAAAATGTATAAATATGAGAGACAAAGTGGATTGGAATCTTATATTTAGGACCAAAATAAAAATCAAACAGGATCTTATATTAAGAGCCGGAGGTAATATGAAAAAAAGTACACAGCAATGCCCAATTTAATAAAATATTACGCGTCCTTGCTGGAGCAATTGCACATAATACCTGCACAAGTTATTTATTACCCATTCATATTATACAAGCAAGTCTTTTGCAGGCTGTTTTCCTCAGAGCTAAGCAGAGTTCTTGGCGATGGCACCAGCACCAGTGAGAAGCGGAGTAAGTTGACCGCCTTGGTACTTCGCCATAACAGCTGCGAGATACGATGTCAAACATGGAAGGAAACCAAAGAAAATATGAACATACTCACTAGGTGTTCTCGTTGTGATGGATAAATAATCTATAATTGGATCTCATGAATCCTATTTGTATGTAAGACTCATCCAATTATGCAAGGCTTATTTCCCATTACACTCATTTTTTTAAATCTCCCTACAACTACACTATGGATTCAAACATAAATTGAGAGGATCAGTATAGAAGAAGCATAATTGTACACTTACAGTCACAACCGCCGATGTGCTTTCCTGCTATGAACACGTTGGGCACGGTCCTTTGTCCAGTCCATTCAGCCAGAGCTGCCTGAATATCACCCCCGTCACCTTCAAATAGTAAAAAGCAAATCTTGAGAGGAAACTGAATAATAAAATACTAGTAGTTGAGGCAAGCAGCATGTTGCTCAGTCAGGTGTTATTTAAGTTAATTGTTTGAACACAAGAGAAAAGGCACAAAGCCAAAGAGAAGACGGCAATCAATTAGCAGGGTCACAACAACCAAAGCCTAAATCATAACTCCAGATATGAATGAGGTGCTATTTAACTCTAGAATCACATAGCAGCTGATTCCTGCATGTAAATATACTGCAATCTAAATATATGCGGATCAATTATGTATATGAAGCGGTTCAAGGTCTTCAAAATCAGCAAAAATAAATCCATAAGTAAATTATCCTCCACCAAGAGAGTGGTTTCTTTGAATATTTGAATGAAAACCCCAGAAGAAGAATGTGAAAAGTCAATGCCTGACCATTAAGTGAAGGCTTAGTAGCAGAAAGCAAGTTGACTCTCAAGATAATGTCATAGCATAATAGCATAGCAGTTCATGTAAAGGATGATCAAGAAGGACAAAGACGTTCAGAAGAAATCAATGAACCGCCAATCGACCATGGTTGTGATGATTAGGAATTAGTCAATGGGAAAACTTCAAAAGACAAATGGGGCGAATACCAGGCTTATGACCAAAAGACAGCGACAAAGTATCCCTCAAATCAACTTGTATAAACATAGAAAGGGCTCTCGAGAGTTATGAAAGTAACAATCTCAAGAGCATCTCTCAAGACAAGTTTTGAAAATAACAATATCGAGAGCATCCACAGAAACTTACTTTCCTCATCTAATTCAATGACCTTATACGCTGCTCCTAGCTGATTTAAGAGATCTTTGACCCTCTTGCAATATCCACAGTACGTCTTGCTGCCAGTAAATTTTCAATTTTCAAATTAAGTCATAGAGATGACAAGCAAAAATTGATTCAATGAAACATAATAAGAAATGCACCGATTGGAGGCGGGGAGAGTAAGAGAGCAAAATGAAAAGCAATGAATGCTTCGCTAAAAATAAACTAAATATAGCAGCTATATTTGAATCAACACTAGTGAACAGGGGCGCGCATGTGAAATTTCGTTAAAGAATTTTCTTTTTTTTCAGACGAAATCATTGACATATAAAGGCGCATACATGCACAACCATGCAAAGGAGCTCATATCAGTTTCCTAAAGGCTACAAAGCATTAGGATCTATGACATCAATGCACAGTGGACAACAAATATAAAACCTCGCCTGAACACGAAAAGTGTATCTGAAGAATTGAATCAGTCAGAAACTCGAATTGGAGGTGGAGTTATCCATTCTTTCAATGGCCAATGGTCGATTGGTGGTCATCTTGCTCCTCACTTCAACCAAATACTACAAACTGACCATTTCTTGTGGCTGTTAAGGATAACATGAAGCATAACCCTTTCGATTATAATCGAAATATCTATAATCCTGTCCAAATCCCCACGGTCCAGGCTCCACACCATACAACCATCGGTTATAACTTCTACAAGGCCAGGAGCTGTATAGAAAAGAATAAATAAACTCACACTTTCAACCCTGACTACAAAATTTCCCTTCAGACAAGGAATTCTCTTCCAGCTGGTGACTGGAAGTTTTAGGTAGAATTAAATAATCATCGTAAATGACAATTCCCATTCGTCAATTTTCAGACCATAATTTCGCTCCCCAAGTTAACTAAGTCGGGCAATCAAAAGGAAAGGATTTCCCCAACAAATTAATACTAAACTGCGGCTGAACAACAGCCACGAAGGGATATAATACCTGTAGACAACGACAGGAGCAGAGGATGCTATCTCCTTGGCCTTCTTCGACGCCATTTCCCGCTCTTCCTTGCTCTTCTGCGAGCTTAGAATTGATCCCATCTGTGCTTATACAGTAGCACTCTAAAAATATACTGCGGGAGGATGAACACCGAGAAAGAAAGCGACAAGTGTTAGAAGCTCCTGGAACCGATCTCCTTGCTGGCACGCAGCACGCAAAAGAGGAAAGAGGGCCCAATCAGGCAACAGGTGTTGTGAGCCGCAGTTGCTTGAAGGCAGAACAAAAACAGGAAAAAGAACAATAAAAGTGGCCAAAAAGGATAAGGTCCTCTGACCTTTACCGGGTAAATTAGGGTTACAATTACAATAAATAAATCTAAGCCATACACATGTATAGTAAAAAAAATACTGCAGCTGTAAATTTATTCTTCCTATTCCTATTTACAATACCCGTAATATCATCTTTTTGCTTTAACACTCTCCCTCAAACGAGAGGGTGTCACTGATAGACTGAGTTTGCTTTTGAAATTAAAAAACTGAAGTTGAGACAGAGCTTTTGTTAAGCGATTGGCGACTTGGTAAGAAGAAGGAACATAGCGGACAAAAATGGAACCTGATAGCACATGATCATGGATGAAATGGACATCAATTTCAATGTGCTTGCTCCTAGCATGTTGCATAGGATTTGCGACAAGAGCTACAGCACTTAAATTATCACACTAGATCGTTGAAGGTTGGCGTAAACAGAGACTAAGCTTAAACATTAAAGATTGCAACCATTTAATTTCAGCAACTCCATCAACAAGTGCTCGGTACTCGAATTCAGTACTGGATCTTGAGACTACTCTTTACTTCCGAGATGACCATAAGACCAGAGTATTGCTAAGACAAACACAGCAACCAGCCATGGATTTACTGTCATCAACATCTATGGCCCAATCAGCATTGGTGAAGGCTGTTAAGTGAAGAGAGGTAAAAGATTTTATAAGTAAACCATAATGATAGGTTCCTCTAATATATCTAAGAATTCTTTTTACCCCTTGAAAATGGACATCCGTGGGTTGTGCCAAGAACTGGTTGAGCTTGTTTACAGAGAATGCAATATCTGGTCATGTCGAAGTAAGATATTGGAGTGACCCAATTGCTCTTCTATACAGAGAAGGGTTTATTATTGGAGTACCTTCTGTAGCAAAAAAATGGTGTCCTGTAACCATTGGAGTCGACACTGGTGCACAATTCAACGTATTAAACTTCTTCAGTAAGTCCAATGTATATTTTCCTTGATTAAGGAAAATTCCTGATTAATCTCTGTAAATTTCTAGGTTGAGAAAATTGTATAAAGGACCAAGATCTTTAAGAGAAAATAGGGCATTAAGTCTCTAAATAAAAATCCTGACATAATGAGTATTATTGCTAGTAACCAGAATGCCATCTACATAAGTGAGAACGAAAATTGTGAGATTATTGGTCCTGAGATAAAATAGAGAAATATCACTCCAAGAATTTTGAAAACCCCACTAAATAAGAGTTAATCGTAATCTGTCAAACCATGCTCTTGGTGCTTGCTTCAGTCTATAAATTGCTTTTACTAATTTGCAAACATGAGTTGGCCAAGTGGGATCTACGAAGCCTTCATGTTGACACATAAAAACATTTTCGTGCAAGTAGCCATTTAAGAAGGCATTATTAACATTCAGTTGCCTTATTTCCCAATTAAAAGTAACAGCTATTGTCAACACAAGTCTAATAGTTGTTGGTTTAATCACAAGGCTAAAAGTTTCTCCATAATCAATTCCTGGAGATTGTTGAAAGCCTTTTACAACAAGCCTTGCTTTGTGCTTTAAAATTGAACCATCAGCTTTAAACTTGGTATTGTAAACCCACTTACAATCAACTAATTTTTATTGAGCATTTGGTTGAACCATGACCCAAGTAGGATTTCAAATTAGTGCATCAAATTCCTCTATCATAGCTTTTTTCTAATGAGGAGTTGATAGAGCCTCTGTTGTGGAACATGGCTCAGCAATCTTAGATAGAGATAATGGATCTTCATACTTTAATAATCCAACAAAGGGATATTTGGGCTTATGTATTCCTGCTTTGGCCTGTGTGAACATGGGATGTTGATTTTGTTGAAGTGTGGGGGCCTCATTGGACTCTTGAATATTGGGCTTAGATAGACTAGATGGACATGATTCAAAGTGAGAGTGAGATGCAGAAATTTCACTGGCAACATGTTGAGAGTTATATGTTGGGCTAGATATTTAGGCCTGCGTAATAGGAGAAGCAGGAGGTGAGTAATTAACATGTGATGGAATAGTTGTAGATCTCAACACTTCTTGGCCTAACTGAATATTATCATTATTAGTTGTGGATCTCAACATGTTTTGGTCTAATTGAGAGTTATCTTGAATCATCATGGGAAGAATTTGTGTTTCAGCAGGAGAAGCAGATCGTTTGTTTAGAAATCCTAATTCAAAAAGAAATACTAAAGCATCAAAAAACATACATCTTGACACATATATTCGGCCAATAGAACTGAGACATTTAAAACCTTTGTGTTGAGGGGCTGATCCCAAGTAAACACATTTTTTACTATGAAATTGCAACTTGTTTTCATTATATGGCTTGAGGCAGGGATAATAGGCACACCCAAATGGTTGAAGAGACTTATAATCAGGCTCTGTTTTATATAAAGAGAATAAAGGAGTAGATCTATCTAAGAGTGGTGTTGGAAGTCTATTAATAAGAAACACAGCAATATGGCAAGCTTCAACCCAATATGTGAGAGGCATTTTAGCCTGAGCCAATAGAGTGAGTCTCATTTCTACAATATGCCTGTGTTTTCTCTCTGCTCTTCTATTTTGCTGCGAAGTGTAAGGACATGTATACCTCATAACAATTCCAGTATTTTGTACAACAGGAACAAATGGTTGTATTCAATATCATTATCACATCGAATGGTCTTAATTTTGACATTAAAATGATTTTCAACAAACTGTCGGAAGTGATGAAAAGCATTTATAGCTTCTCCTTTATGCTTTAATGGATATAACCAAGTAAATCTGCTAAAATCATCAACAAAATGTATATAAAAATGATATCCAAACACATATTGCATTGGTGAAGGACCCTAAAGGTCCATATGAGCAAGCTCAAAAGGCGAAGAAGCACAAGACATAGAAATTGGAAATGGTAAATACTTTGATTTCCCTACCTAACATGCTTCACAAACAAAGTTTTCTTTGAAAGTAACATTCTCATTACAACTATTTAAAACTTGTTTCAAAACACGCTCACTAGGATGTCCTAATTTGCAATGCTATTTGAAAAATTCATTTTCATTTGTAGAAGAAAATGTTGCAGCAAGAGCTTGAGCTTGAATTTGTCTATTAAGCATGGGATACATCCCCTGTCTGGGTCGACCTTGCATCACTAGTCTGCCTGTCTACTTGTCCTTCACAGTACAACCAGTATTAGAAAATAGAACATCAACATAGTTATCTTCAACCAATCTATTAATGCTCATCAAATTCTTAGTAGCAAAAAGAACAAGTAGAACATCATTAAGTTGAAGCTCAGAGTTAGAGTAAGAAAGAGAAATAGAATTAATACCAGTCCCACAAGCTTTTTCACCAGTGCAAGTTAAGAAATGAGACTTACCAATTGGATTGAGTTGACTAAAGTTTTCAGGATTTGAAGTAACATGATAGTTGGAACCACCATCCATGTACCAAGCTGGGTCGGTCAACTTTTGAGAAGTAGCATAGAAAGCTTGAGGAGAATACCCACTGGAAGCACGTCCCTGATTAGAAGGTAGATGAAAATTCCTGTCATACTGATAATAGCAATAAAAAAACATCATGTCCGAGACAATCACAAAGATGACAATATGGTCTCCCACTATTATTATTATATCCTCCATTTCAGCATCCTCTGCCCCTACGTCCACAGTTATCCTGAGTGCCTTTCCAATAGTTGTTTCTCTCATGATCATAATAACCACGAGTAGAAAAATCTAGAGCATCACGTTGAGCAAGATTGGCAGAGGGTTGAATAGTGAGAGAGGAAAACTAATTTAACTGTTCTAGATAAGATTCAAAAGCAAGCAATGAAGCTTGAGCACCAACCCAAGTGAGATTTGGTTGATCTACCAGCTTAACCACAATAACATTGTACTCAGCATCAAGGCTACTGAGAGTACACATAATGAGTTCTTCTATGGGAACTTGAGCACTAGCACTAGCAAGTTGATCGGCAATATTTTTCTTCTTTCTCAAATATTCTTCCATTTTCAAAGCATTCTTCCTGGTCTGATGGAGCTTCAACTTGAGCACCATGCTTCGAGCTTTAGAGATGTCAGAAGTAAGATCTCAAGCTCTAAGCCATAAATCTCTAGCTATTCGACAGTAAAGCAACTGAGCACCAACTTCAAGAGTTATCGTGTCTCTAAGCCAGCCAACCAGCATCTTGTCAACCGAGAACCACTCCTCATATTTTGGATTCGTAGTCAGACCTTCAGCTTCAGGGACAACACGGGAAGGAGCTTGAGCTCAACCATTAATATGAGATTCAAGGCGACTACCTTTAATGAGGGGAAGAACTATAGACTCCTAAATCAGAAAATTTCCTCTATCCAGCTTAACAGAGGTGGTTTGAGCAGAGGAACTAAACAAGGAGTAAGCCTTGGAAATATCAAAGAAAGACAATGTAAAAGTTTTTGAGGATTGAGACATGACAGTTGGCTCTGATACCAAGAACAAAAATAGGGAAAAGAACAATAAAGGTAGCCGAAAAGGATAAGGTCCTCTGACCTTTACTATGTATAAATACTAAAGAATTAGGGTTACAATTACAATAACTAAATCTAAGCCATATAAGTGTATAGTGAAAAGAATACTACAACTGTAAAGTTATTCTTCCTATTCCAATTTACAACACCCGTAACATTATCTTTTTGCTTTAACAAAGGCAATTAAGGATAAGAGAATTTAAGAATAAAAAAGCTAACAACAAAGTCAAATCTGTGGATAGTATTGAAATCAGTAGACAAGCCAGAAAATAGAAGGAAAGCAATCGTTCGATCCACGCTGACTAGGGTTAAAATTGAGAGCCTTTACTTTTGCTTTTGTATATCCACAGTAATTATCTTTATCAGTAGTCTCTTGTTGACATTGCGTTTCTTTACTTTTGTCTTCAACTTTTTCCCCCTTACGTAG